TAGAAAACGCATAGGCCTTATATAATTTTATATCGCGTTGGTACCAACAGTTCACAATTGTCGTTTAAGGTTCCATGAAATTGCAAAAGAAAAACTGCGCTGAAAAAAAAAAACAATATAAGTTGTAAGTTCAGCAGATTCTGCGTCATAGTCGGTTGCAGTACAGAGAGTACAGTAATTCGGAAGCAACGACTCTGACGAGAACAACATTGCACCAGCTAATTGAATTCGGTGATCTACTCGTACTAGCCACGCAAGGCGGGTCAGTCATTGAACCAGCTCTCGCCACGCCAATCAGATAGCGTGTTACTGTCATACTAAAGTACGCTGCGGTTGTTCTTAAATTAGACGGAATAATCAGTCCCTGAAAACTATATGCATCATACGCGTAAATGTGATAGCTTCAAAACTAATTTGTGCATACGAATGCGGCGAATATTATATTTGTTTGCGATGTGGCCATACGACAGACGTTCGTAAAATGTCAAACCATATGAGTAATTCGGTAAAAGTAAAATTATCATTGTAACATGCTGTGGAGGCCCATAGGGTTGTGAGACGTCGAGGCTCCCACATTTTACAGACAATAGGCTCACAGATGGCGGTGAGGTTGTCAGCTTCACGCGCCGGCCGGCTGGCCGGCCACCATTTACCCCCAGGAAGATTTTCTGGTACTCATTTCTGTTAGAGGCTGAGTCGTCCCTAGGGCCATAGTGCGGCTGGAAGGATTAGGTCAATTGAAAAATCCAATGATCTAATCTGGAATCGAACCCGCGAACTTTCGGCTTGTGGCATAGTGCCTCAACCAACTACGCTACCGCGTGCCCCGAATAATTTGGTATCGATTAACATTTCACGAATTTTCGAATAGTGAAATTGAATGTTTTAAATTACAACAACATTGGCAGATATCGTCAACGTATTAGTTAGTGTAGCAACATTTTTAATAATGTTGGGCCTGGTTTTTCTCTGATACGAACCCAGAGTCTGCTTTCAGAGTACATAAAGTCTCGTCTTTTACGTCAGTTATGGTTGCTTCCGTTGAAGTTCTCCCAGCTTCACCTTTATTCACAAAATTCTGACCGCACTGCAAGAAAGTCATACACTACTCATTTTCATTAATTTTTCCTTCATGTAAGGGTGAATCAGAATACTTGCCGACTACTCGAATCGTATTAAATACTATCACACGGTGCACAGAGTCCTACCGCATGCTTTCGTAATGATCTTAATGACATCTCTTGTAACTTTTTAGGTTCTCCATGTGAAGATCTTTCAGACTGTGGTTGTCCGGGTATGTACGTGGACTGTAACGTTTCGGAGGAACATGTTGCCTCCGTCTTCAAAGTGAAACGTTGGTATCCACTTTCAAAATGATGTCACAATTCAGAAAATTACAATTTGATCTCTTGTAGTTAATTTCCATTTCTTAGCATATTGTGACATGACGCCTGAAAGCCGGAATAGAGGAGCCAGAGTAAATGCTTATTGCTAGGCAACGACTCGGTAAACAGGTTCCCGCGGCAACGAATACGTAAGCAACGATCGAAGTATTATTGGGCTATAACGATGGGAACGGTGTTTTCTATTGGATCCGTCCCGAGGCTAGCGGGTGCGGGGTCGAATACCTCCCTCATAACCCTGTGAGTCATAGGAGGTGACGAAAAGTAGATCTCGGATCTGAGACAGTAAGATACAATTTCCATTGTAGTCGTTGCCCAACGATGGACGTAATATAACACGTTACATTCCCGCCTCTGACACCAATGTGACTTATGGCTGTGTGACGCGGCACGAATAAATTGCGTGGATCTTCGGATCGACCGAATTCTTTTATTTGACGCTTATTTGTACACACCCTCGTACAATTATTCGCTTAGAACGCTATTACACCGTCGCGAATGACTGCGCTGGCGAGGCCCAGCAGCAATTGTAAACCACAGACCCGTTCTCTAGCCAGAGAGAGCGCCCCACATCAACAAATTTGCAACTGTCTGACAGTAATAAAATTCTGGTCGTAAACCCCAGATGGGTGCTTTATTCCAAGAGAGACTGGCCGACTGACCGTCGGCGGTAACATAAGACTCACACTCAGACTCAGACTCAGACTCAGACTCAGCTGGAATAAGGATTGAAGGAGTCTCTTGAGATGGCAGTCGTAGATGATTTGAGGAGAGAAGGCAAGAAAGGAATTGGGCTGTGAAAATAAGACTTCATGTATGCTGTAGTTACAGGTATAATGAGTGTGTTGAAATCCGTTGCCAGAATATGACTAGTGAAGACAGAACCCTAGTGTGTGTGCGTGCGTGTGTAACGGTGAACTGTAAAGTATGTAGATCAGCGATAGCGCTGTATTGCCTGTAGTCCGAACTGAGTGTATAAGCGCAATTAATACAATCATCCAGTCCAAAACCCCATTTTCCTTCATGTAAGGGTGAATCTGACAATATCCCATCCCCTACACGTGACAATATCGATGAAATGAAAGAGTTAACCTTAAGTTGTTGTTTTTGATGGTATTAACATAAGCCTCATTGAGTATTCTTACAGAATGAAAATACAACAGCAGTGAATACTAAAATTAAAATTTAATCAGGTTCACCTTCCTTTGTATTTATCTTGTTATTTAGCCTTAAATCATTTATGTATTGCTGTTTATTCAAAATATTTCAGTAGCACGAAAATAATAAGGTTCTGGAAGGAATGTTCATTCTAAATTTGTACTGTAGAGGTGCATGAGAGATTACCCGAAACAGGTACACAGTGAATCAGAAGATTCTTCAGAACACAAAGAAATAAAAACATCTTCTCATTTCTGCTCTTTTTGTGATATATTCATAAGATATTATAATAAATAATTTTAATAACTGAAACTCGTAGTCAAGAGGGGATGGACACTGCTTCATAAGTGGGAGATTCTGGTTTCAAAATCTCTTAGTGTGGACCGCTGATCTTGAAGGAGGCATTCGATGATTTTCTCGTCACCTTCACATAAATGACGGGAAAGTACTTCAGAGGTCACAATGGCTTCTCTCCACATTCTTTCCACCTCGTTGTTTACTAATCATCCCATTATTCGATGATATACATGGTTATTCAAAAAGAATGAACCGATTTCATGACGCATTGCTTCAGTTCTCCTCCATCATCATGGAATGAGTCAGTGACCATTTGAAAGAGGAGTTATCTAAGTTGTGAATGGCTGCCACAGGGACGCTGAAGTCGCGTCGTTCTTCCGGCAACGTTCAGTTGTTCGTTTACCCTCGGAATGGCGAGTCCTCAGCAAAAGGCGTTCTACGTTCTCGAGTTCGCGAAAACAAATTCGGTTGTCACGGTGCAGCGTGCTTTTCGAAGGCGATTCGGGATTAATCCGCCCTGTCCTAAGAACATTCGACGGTGGTTTCGACAGTTTCAAGAGAGTGGGTGTCTGTGTAAAGGAAAAAGTCCAGGACGACCACGAGTCTCGGAGGAACAAGTGGCGAGAATCCGTGCTGCGTTTGAGAGGAGCCCGCGGAAGTCAACAAATCGAGCTAGCCGTGAGCTTGCGATCCCTCAATCCACTGTCTGGCGTGTGCTAACAGTACGTCTACATTTGAAACCATACAGACTGCAGCTCGTTCAGGCACTT